TCGCCCGCTCGTAGGTGCGCTGGTGATGGTTTTTGCTCCGGACGCTGTGCGGGATGGGCTCGGGGAAATCGGCGTTGCCGTAGGCGTGGCTGAGGTTCTCCTGCAAGGCCGAGACGTCGGGCTTCTTCTCGTAGCCGTTGCTCACCCAGCTGCTCCCGCTCCTCTCGGCCGCCCCGTAATTCAGAAACTGCGAGGGGAACACGTGGTTGCTGGAAAAGCCGGAGTACCCGAAGGAGGGAAGCGCGAACTTGGAGTGAAACCCGTTCACGGAAGGCAGATTGGGCTGTGCATAGTAGGAATGGTACGAGTAAACACTGTTCATGCTGTAGGGGTCGGAGGGCCGGCAGCTCCCCAGCACCGAGTAGCTCTCCACCACGGCGTTGCCGTTGTACTTGAAGGCGTTGTAGTGGCTCTGCGGCTCCACCTTGATGGAAGGTTTCAGCGGCTGCGGGGGCAGCCCGCTTTTCAAAGCCATACCTGCGGGCACAGCACACACACAGACCCCGTGACCCGATGGCTGAGGACCCCAAAATCTCGGCCAGACTCAAAAATCCCCCGGTGATGGGCTCCACTGCTGAGCACAGAGTTTGGCATCACCCAGCATCTCCCTGGGCACTGGCACCGATTTGCACCCGTGCTCCAGGCTGCTGTGAGTGCTCCCCTCTCCGCAGTGCAGGGAAAAACCCAGGCGATGCCATCCTGTCCCCAACACCCAAAAAAAAGCCCCCAGCCACATCCCCATCCCCTCCTGCACCTCCCAAACAGCTCGGGGACAGTGGGACCTCAGCTCTGCCCCCGTTACCTGCGTTTTGCTGGAGCGCGGGGAGCTCGAGCGCTTCCTGCTTGATCTTCTCCGGCGTCATCAGCTTCTCCTTCTGCAGTCCCCCGGCGCGGCTTCCCGGCCCCCCCGCTGCCGCTGCCGGCAGGACTTGGCGGGCTCGGGGAGCTTGCGGACCTCGCGGGGGAAGGAGGTGAGCACCTGGATGGCCCCGCTGCCCACCTTGGCGTTTTGGTTCTCCTCGCTGCCGAACTCATCCGTGCTGGACATCTTGTAGAGGGGGAGGACGTGCAGCTGCTCGTCTTCGGGGATCTTCCCCACCACGCGATTGTCTTCCTTGGTCAGCGTGCAGACCTGGGGGAGCGCAGGGGGTCATCGGTGGGACAGGGGTGAAACCTCCCCCTTACTCCTCAAATCCATGTGAAGTCACACCAGCCTGGCATCCCCAAAACCCACACCAGCCCCCAGACGGTATCCCCAGACCTCCTGCGGGGTTTGGGTCAGAAAAAAGCAAACACACAGTCCCATTAGCACTGTTCTGGGTGGTTTCTGCACCCCCAGACCTGAACGGTTTCATTTGGGGTGTGCAAACACCACGGACCAGGCACTGGGGATGGCTGTGACTCAAAAAGGAGCATCGCCAAATGGGGTGGGGAGCATCCCAAAAAGCCCCGCCGGCCGCCTGCTTACCACCGTGCAGCCGTTGTAGAGGTTGTGCTGATCTTTGTGAGCGTGGGCGCAGAAGTCCATGCACGCCGTCACTCCTGAAAACGGCCTCCCCTCCTTCAAGCCCAGCCGGCAGTCTATGGCTACGTCCTCGTTGGTAACCTGGCGGGAGGAGGAGAGGGCTCTGGTTACCCAAAATCTCCTCCGTGCTGCCACCCCGCAGCCGGTGCTGCCTGCTCCGGAGGGGCCGGTACCTGGTTTTGGTAGGCTTGCGGCGCCAGCCTCTTGTAAAGCGGAGCAACCTCGGTGGCCAAGTCCTGAAAGCTTTTCCGGAGCAGCTCTTCCTGCAGCAGGGAAAAGAGGAGGATGTCACGGAGGGGACGCAACTGGGAGCAAAGTCCCCACACCACACAGCACCCAACCCTTCCCACGATGTCCGTCACTGCACGTGGCTTAAATCCCTGGTGAGGTTTTGGTTGTTCAACCCCCAGCCCCAGCGCCTGTTGTGCTTTCAGCCCATGAGCCCTGTGGCATCTCGTGGGCTTTCCACAGAGATCCCATTTGTGCCACCCCATGCCAGCACCCGCTGTCACCCCAAATGTCCCCGCTCTGGGTCACCAAGGTGAGCCAGCCCTCTGGTTTCACCAAATTGGCTTTCTCCTCCTCACTGTCTCCCTAATTCATCACAAATCCCACAGGGAATCTTATTTTCAAGCTCTACCCCCCAGGGAATAAAACTGGAGGTAAAAGGGGGTCTGAACCCCGAGGGTGCTGCCCCGCTCTGCCCATGTCACGCACCTCTTTGGGATTGTCCCCCACCAGCCTGAACTTGCGGGGCGTTTTGCTCCGGGCGTACTTGCAGCCGTTAAAATACATGCTCCAGGAGCAGCCGAAGGAGAAGGAAGCGCCGCAGGTGTTGGGGTCCTTGCCTTGACATGCGCAGGTCCGGCTGCGGGAGGGACACAGCAGGGTCAGCTATGACACCAGAGGGGAACCCTGAATCCCCTTCCCACC